ATTCGACAGAGTGAATATAAAACAGGGTAAAATGGGAAACAATGGGAAAATTGGAACAAGCGCATGAGATCGAATTTTAAACTTGTTAATAAAGTGTTTTCTGAAGGCAGATTTTCGGAACGCGCTCTATTGAGCAGAAAATCTATTATAGAGTCCGGTATGGCAACGAGAGACCCGCAAGATTCCCAATTGAATAAAAATTGTTTCTGATAAAGGGCTGATCTGAGTGCAAACTACATGGAAGAAAATAAAATAAAACCTGATTCTTTATTGGCTGAGTTCTCATCCTTATTAGAATCTTAAATTATCTGGTAGTTGCGGAGCAAAAACAGCATTTGTAGTACACAAAACGCACCCTGAAAATAAAGTACAATGATGCTAAAGTATATTGAAGTAACCGACGGTTAAAAACGGAAAAAAAATTCAAAACCATTAGGAAAACGTGAAGTGACAGTTGAATTTACACGTGACCCTCTCTCAATGTAAAACTGGCATCATTTTTCTTTGGCCATGCCGACACGAAAAACTGCCTGCGAACCGTTTTACCAATGTATTGCTTTTCCATTTTCACTTCCAGCTTATTTCGGACACGTGATGGTAGAAAATTCGCAATAATTTGGCTACTGTCTAGTCCGTTTCCAAAAGCTGTTTTAAACGATTTGTTCAGCAGATTGGACAGTACAAACAGCAGCTTTCCCCCTTTCCTTGCTCGGTATTCCATACGCAATCGAATTAATATGTTTACATGTCATTAAATTACAATTTCAGGCTTTGCGGTCCGGATTGAGGGTGTTGATTTTGAGGAGACGCAGCCAAATGAGTTTGGCAGCTAATAAGGCTGCTATTTGAACCGTCTATCTTAGTTGCAATTTAATCGCAATCCCAGGACGAGCATTGTTTAAATTTATATATTTTGGTAGATACAAGGTGATTTTCTAGTGCGATTATTTCCGATGGTGTTAAACTTTCGAAAAATAGTTTCACATCAAAGTTGTTGACGCATAAAGTGCGCACATTTTAAAAATATCTTATATGATACAGAGGGTCTCAGAAAAGCGAGGCAAGATCAAAGTGTATTTTTTTAAACCGAATTACCCAATTTTAATTAGCTCATGGAATGCAGCTTGAAACCCTGCATATGCGCCGTAAATTTGTTTTTTTCTTACTTGCGACGTTGGCAGATTATCGCCATCTTAGTAAAACTTTGCTTAAAAACATGGTATCTAAAAATAGATGAATGTAGAAGCAAAAAAAACAAAGATACAAAAAAATACGCCTTTCCAATCACCACAGATCCGTTAAAAATTCTATTGAACCAAACTATCAATACATTGTAAAGGGTGTTTACAATATAACTTTTGTTTTTCAAATGGAAGTACGTGTATATTAATACGTCAATAGATAGACATTAATACGTCAATAGACAACAAAGTTACAAATGTGCATTTACACTTTAAGCTGTGAAATCAACCGTTTTCAAATCATAATTTATTTTATTTAAAAATTTCAAAAAGTTGCTACATTTTGTAAGGTATCATATAAGATAATTTTAAAATGTGCGCACTTTGCGCATCAACAACTTTTATTTGAAACTATCTTTCGCAAGTTCAACACCATCGGAAATAATGGACTTTATCGCATTAAAAAACCACCCTGTATATAAAATATGATCATGCCAGCAAAATATAATAATAACAGGTTATCTAATTCGCGGTTGGGAAAGTAAAACCTTTTTATATTTGATATTTGCCAAAGGTAAACGTCATCCGAAGCGTTTTTGTTTTAGTTGAAGGTTTGCCATTTTGGAATATGGATCGTTTAACTGTCGAAGAACGCGTAAAAATTATAAAATGTTACTGTAAAAATGGTGATTCTGCTGTATTAACGTTTACGGCTTTACGAGTACATTACGGTCGACCTAATCGACCCACAGAGCAAACAATTTCGAACAGTGGAAACAATTGAAGAGACTGGATCGGTTACTGATTGTAAGGCCTGTGCATCATCGCAACATTCGTTCAACTGAAAATATCGCTGTTGTTGCTCACAGTGTGGAGGAAGACCCGATTATCCGACGTGCTCAACATTAGGGCTTGTCTTACGGCTCATTGTGGCGAATTTTGCAATTGGATTTGAAGCTCCATCCGTACAAAGTCCAACTGCCTCAAGAACTTAAGCCTCAAGACCATGGGCAATGCAGAACATACGCAAATTGACTGATTGAACAACAAGCCGTTGATGATGATTTTGCGAACCGAATTTTCTTCAATATTTTTTAATTTTCTATAATTTATGTAAGTGAACACATTTGCGGGTACTTTCTGTAATTTTAGCTGATTCATACTTATAAACAGCGGATAGTGGTGGTAATTAAACGGAACATTCAATTTAAAGGACTCAAGTTTGAAAGTTCTAGTTTTTCCATACAGTTATTAGCGCATATATACATGTGCCCTTCTCTATTTCTAAAGAGGGTCGCATAATTCCTCTAAAGCAAGGTATATGTATATTCATATTCAAGATAATTATTTATAAACTTCTGACTAATTGTTTTTTCACCAGTTACATTTTTAAGTCCATTTCCTTCTAATATGTCGATATTAAAATTCCCTAAAATACAGTGGTTTTTAGTATCCCTAAGCTTTGACAAAAACTGTTTTACACTATTCACAAATTCCAACTTTAGCATGTCATGGTACTTGTAATAATAAATATAAGTTTCCAATTTTTCAAAATTCTTATATTAAGGTACAAAATCAAATTATCTTTCTTTATTATTGTCTTATTGAGCGTTTCAACATTCACACTTCACATTCATACTTGCTTACATTTTCAAAATTAAGATCCATTGATTTTTATTTCCTGCTTCTTAATCTTTCAAAAAGTGTTATAGTTAATAATTCTCTTGTAATTTTCTAGCCTTCTTTCGTAAACAGGGCATTGTTGATCTCTGTCTGAGTGCTCGAGCTCGTGCTGTTTTATTTTGGCACAGTAGAGGCATTTATATATTTTTTCATTACGTGCTTTAGCTTCATAAGCTCCTCCACACTTGTGACAACAACAACTTTCTGGATGAGAATATTTGACAACGTGCCCAAAACCATTGCCCTTAAAACAAATAGCCAAGTAAAAATGCTCCACCACTTTAACACTCATCAGATCAAAAAAAGTGTCCCTTTTTTTAAGAATAATTTTGTTATCTTTGCAGGTGCTTCCAGAATCCAATTTTGTTTTATTTCGTTTCGACCTTGTCTTTTCGTCACAACTTTAATTTTGTTTTCAATATTCTCTCCCAATTCATTCCCTATTTCATAATTTGAACGCTCCAATTCTTCCAGGAAATCTTTATCTGAATATCCTTTGAGAATTCCTGTTATTATAAACGTGGCATTTTGATTGAGGGCCTTTTTAACTTCAATTTTGTCATTTTTTCCAGTGCCTGTTTCAATTTTTGTTGTTGTTTTCAAAACGTTTTACCACTACTACGCCATTATTCATTCGGTTGATGTTTTTGAAGATTCGCCCGATATCTTCCCCATTTATTTCTTTTCGACAATATCTAAACGCCTCATTTGAGTCCCTTATATTTTCTAGTCTAATAACTGTTTCAAGTTTCTTTTTTAGTATTGGTGTTTATCATTGGATGTTTTCTTTTTCGTCTATCGTGTTCTTAGTGTCTTCTTTCTTCTTTGACACTTCTGCATACGTACGCGTGTCTTGGTGAAGTTCCATATCATTTTTGCGTTTGTAGTTGGTTGTTGCATTAACTTGATTTTAAGGTTTTCATTCTTTATTTGACCCAATTTGAAGACTAATAACATAAATTGTTCATATATTTGGATTCTTAGGGTTCTTCTTTCTTCTTTTGAGATTGATATGTTTCCATCAGCATGGATTTCATTATCTAATATTTTTGATATTTCATTCATTTCTTGAAAGAAGTTTTCGATCTCTTGTTGTAAGCACTCCTGAGTATCCTGTGTTTCTCGATTTTCTGAACCGATTTTGTCTTCTGTTGGGGCAATGCTTCTGTTTGATACTTATTTTCCCCTACACAATTTTCTTCCTGACTGTTATATTTATGTTAGCTTTCATTATTGCATAATCTCTTGAAGGTAGTTTCTGTGGTGTTGGTAGAACTGGGTAAGTCATAATCCACAAGATCTTGTTTATCATCATTTTGGATCTTATCTGCCGAGTTACTTTTTTGCTATTTTTGTGCTACCGAACGAGTTTTCATTTTCACATTAGGTCTTTCCGGTTCATTGCCTTCATTCATGGTAAAAACAATCTAAATTATCTCATAATAAACTCCGTAAGAAAACCCTACTTTAAAGCGTATTTATGCGGATGAACGGGTATAAAATATCTCGAGTTTGCAAATATTACAAACATTCGACACGCTCGCACTGGTGGATATATTGGATCTCTTCCTTTCTTTGCTTATTTTATCCATTATTTACAAAAACAATCCTGAATAATCAAACATTTATTGAGCTCGATTATGTATAGATTTTATATATTCTATTAACCACTATTGTTATGAAAACCGATACAGTCTAAGGCTGCTGTGGGAGTCTTAGGTCGAGCCGAAAAAGCCGAGCGGACCAGCACCCTCTTCTCCAAAACTTAAACAAGCCACAAAACTTGCCACACGAACCGGGTTATCTGGAAAGCTGGAAGGGCCACAATATCACTGGAATATATTATCCCTCTTAGGGAATATGCAAAGTGCGAGGATCTAAATCAATCCTGGAATAGGAACAAAAACTATTATCTGGCTGGATGGTTGGCTACACGAAAAAACAGTTGTACGACTCGAATCGAGCCGAAATACCGGGGATCTGTTAAATGTTTTCCACTTTGGAATCCATAAATAATTTTTCTTAGGATTATGACATTTGAAAAAATGTGACTTACACCTAAACCTAAAAACTAAAAATCTACGAATACGCAAGATTTTTTTATAACGTTTTCAAATCAATTTCAAACAAATTGTGTTTTAGGTATAAATGATTTAATTATTTTCAAGCTGTTTCCTTTCTAGAAGCATTTCACGAGTTTGCAAGTGAACATTGTGCAACTTATAAATAGTCCTTCCGGTTTAAAATAGCTTCTTCTAATGTTTTCTGTTTTACATTTTCTTTCTTCTGGTTAACTTTCTGCTTTAGTTTCTCCTTTAAACTGTCTTAAACACCTAAAAGCAATTTCTCAGCTAACGATTCCTAGGAAAATGTTTGAAATGGCACGAAACTTTTACACACCACCCTGCAGAAATAAGAATAAACGTAATTTCTACATACACCTGCAGTGATAAAACATTTTATTTAATTAAATTGGAGGGGTTTTGTTTAATTGTATAACTTGCGGTGCGTAGGTTTATTCGAGCCAAACGAAAACAGTCATAACACTGCAAGAAAGTATAAAATTACTTACTTTGTGACGTTGTTAAAGTCATGCAAATGACGCGGGTTTAGGGGCAATAAAAATCTTAAATTGTCAAGTGAATTTATACTAATTAATGTAAAATCGTAAATCTAAAAATGCAGTTGCGTGAAGAAAATATACATATAATTTTCAGCGGATTGGTTTGAGACGAACTTTAAATATTTTTACGTAGTAAAGAAATCAGAGTTTTTTGATTGAGATTTAGAATCTTGCTGAACCAATCAAACGGGAACAATTGGATGGCTAAAAACAGCTAAAGAAAATTGAAGTTAGTAAACTATTATTTAACAAGAGGAGCAAAGAAAAATTAATGCTCAAAGTGGTGAATGTTCAATAGAACTTGGCGCCAAGATCACCCAGAATGATCACAGAGGCTCAGGCCCATTCAGGCATTCACCATTTTGGTCATAACTTTCCTCGTTTTTTAACTATTGATTTATAATGACCGGTTTTCAACTTGCTTGTAAATATTTAAGTGTTTTTGGTTTCGTTAGCGCCCAATTTAGATTCTGTCTTTTATCAACTTGTCAGGGCAATTTAGACACTTGTTTGCCGTCAATTTCTTGCACAAAAGCTATTAGCTGCATTGTTGTACTACTGTAAAAAGTAATTTGGTTCTTATGTTTGACCGGAAAAAGTGTGATCTGGAATATCCACAATTTCACTAAATCCTTCTCTCTCATTCATTCATTATTAAATTTGAAATTAATTCCATTGCAAGATAGAACTAAAATAAATTTTTACGTTTTGGAAACCTTCAACATTTTATACATTTTGATCACAAATTTTCACCAATTTAACCGCTGATATTGGGACTGTGTAGCTGGAGTAAATCAAGTCTGGAGTCAAGCAAAAAAAATGTGTTTGGACAGCTAACAGTCCAGTGAACTAGCGGTTTGGCCGATGTAAGTTTGCATTTTGCCCTGGTTTATTTCATACCACAAGTACATCCGACAACTATAATTAGGAGATAGAGGAACGATTATCTTGTCCGGAAGCGATTAATCACGAATGCGAAGGGACCGCAAAGTTCTTATAGTCTTCATGTAGCTGCCTGGGTTTGGAACCTTTGTCAAACCGACGATTATATGACTGTGTTCTTGGATATTATCCGTAATTGGAGCGGCAATTTAAATAGTTCTGGACTTCAGCTGGACAATTGGATAAAATACCAGTGAGTTTTTACATGTTTTGCAACGAATTTGTTAAATATTTAGTGGGTAGAGACAACCATTAGAGTTTTCTCCACGTTTAGTAAAACGTGGATTCAAATTGTAGCCTATGAAAACGTAGTAAATCAGCTGCAAGAATCTTTTCAAATTAAATCCACTTTTTATTGCAAATGATATTAGGAAACTGGTTGAATAAATTTGAGGAAAATGTAAATGATGGCGCAGGAGTTAAATCGAGCAAACGAATTCGCAGCGAAATCGCTAGCTTATTTCAAAATGCCGAAATAAACACAATCGTATTTCTGGCAAGTCATTTCGCTTTAATAAACCGTTTTCCCCATTGACAGCGTTTTTCCGGAGACCGGGCATTTTTACACAAAACAGGGTCGACGTCAAATTTCCAAACATCCATTACAAGGCTTTCAACTAGCTGTGCGCTCCACAAATTTACAAAAGATCTCCACATCCATTGTGAATTCAGCGCCCAAAAATCGCAAAACGCAGGGTTTATTTGAAAAATGTCGGCGACACTACTTGATTAAAATAACAAGGAGAAAATTTTCCAGACGATTTCAGTTCGGGAATTCCATTAATTCCCGATCAAATCCTCAAGAGGCCAGTGGTTTTCTGCCCGGCAAACGTTCTGCTACGCTGTTAGATGGATCAAACAAATCCAATTTGGTCGCCTGATGGGAATCTGCACTTAATTCTTCTCATCCCAAATTTTTAATGTATTTTTTTTAGTGTTTTGTGCATTGGAAACGAACATTTAAAAAAATTGGTCTACTATGAGTTCCTTTCATTTGCCTTTATTATTTGCTACATTCTCACTTTGTGTGATGTTTCGTTTTTGTTCAGTTGTTGCTGCTGATTTTCCTCAATTATCGTATTATATTATTAAGTATCAAGACCTCAAGTTTTAATTTTTTTGCCTGCTCTCTTTTAGGTGATTTTTCCATTGGTTGCTTCGGAATTTTCATTGCTTTTCACTTTTTCTTCCTGGCTTTCACGGCCAAGAAGCTTTGCAACAAGCTAAAGTATTTGGAATTACAATATAATATGTTAGTTGCTGGTTTTTCGCAGTTTTATATGGAGAAATTGTTATTTTTCTTCTTTTTCATAGAATTTCAGGCTTCATTTTATTATTTTTTTCTTACCGATGGTTATCTATTTTATCGAAAATTTAACATAATTTATATGCTGTATGCCCTTTGGTGCTCCGCATTCACTTCAATTCATCAATATTGTTTTACACACTGCCAGCCATAATTTTTGCTTTCAATTTCTTAAGATAGTTTTTTCGTTGTCATTTGACTTTTTTGGGTTTCAAAAATAATTTTCTGACTTCCTCGTGCCATTTAAAATAGTTTTTCGGTTTTGCTTTCTTCTAATCGGCACTTCCTAAAGTGTTTTTTGGTGGTTTTAGAACAATAGAATACTCATCATATTTATCTGATTTATTAATCTATTCGATTGACTTTATCCAAAAAATATGATTTTTGTGCACAATTGCAAAATAAAAGCTGTTTTTTTGAAAAAACATAATAAAAAATTTGCTTCACCTCGAGTTCCCCAACTTGGTCTGCACACTGCAATCCAAGTCTTGTTTATTTCATCATTTTATTGTTTTGTTGTCCTTTCATTGCTCTTGGGTCCTTTGAATTTCAATGATTGAAAGTTTCGTTTTTTTTTCGGCTCAAATTATAAATTTTTGTGCATTTGTTTTGATGATTTGATTCGAGCAGCCGCCAAATATTATTTAAAGAATTTCCAGGTGTTGGTAGGCCTTAGAGGCGTTTCTTTGAGGATCTTTGATCTTTATGTTAAATTCAGCTGAACCAATTAAACCTGATGGGGAACAATTTTCAGTGCTTGAATCAGTTTAACCGAATTCTTGCACTCGCATTTGGACGCTTGAAGCTTGAATTTTTCGGATTCTGAAAGCTGAAGTTCTAAACACATTAATTGGACAAAGAAGTTCTGCATTCTACTGACTGAAATTTATCTGACTGTGCATGTAAAAATTCAAGCGTCGGTCTGAAAATTTCTGAAAGTTTGACAATATATTAGGACCTTCTTGCGTACAAAGTTGTACAATTTAAGTTACAAAAGCCTGTTATTTTTGAACGAAAAAACCCCATCTTAACCCGTGAAAATGGTGCATTTGAGGAAAAAATAGATGCATCCCAAAAGTATCAGTGTTTCAAAATTTAATAGATTATGCCTTATAGAACAATTTTATAAATTATGTTCACAATTTATCAACGTACGATACACCGTTCGCTTATAATCGATTTAATATTATTAATATTATTAATCCCGAAATATTTTTGCAAAATTTATGATTTTTAGCTGGGAAATTGACCAGTTGAGTTCACTGTTTAGTTGCGTTTATACCGGGTGTTCCTTTTAAGGTGGGTGGTTCAAAGTTAAAATCTTAGAGAAACAGAATGAAAACCTTTATAGAACAAACCGAAAATAATAAATAAGAATATTTTTCTACCGAATGAACATGAAGTATTTCACCTTGTGTCAATCAAGAAGAATACAATTATTTTGGTAGTTACGTTGTAACCACTATACATCGAATTTTAACAAGATATTAGGATTTTCTATCGTGAAAAGATGTACGAGTCAAATCAGGAAAGCGTGGGATTTTTAAACTACAAAAATCCATCTTAACCCTCAAAATTGGTGCATATGAGGGAAAAATAGATGCGTCCCAAAAGTGTTACTGTTTCATAATTCAATAGATTATGCCTTATAAAATATTGAGAATTTTTTAAATAATTTTGACAATTACCAAAGTATGACACACAGTTTGCTTATAATCGAGTGAATATTATTAATGCCGACTTATTTTTGCAACATTTATGATTTTTAGCTGGGACGTTGCCAAGTTGAGTTCATTGTTCACTGGCGTTTATACTGGGTGTTAGTTACCCTCTTAGGGTGGGCGGTTCAAAGCTGAAAATGAGTAATTTTATATGGAGCTTAATTGTTGCTACTAGCATATATATATATATATATATATGATATGATTTTCAACTGTCGAATGTCGATCAACTGTTCGATCTAAGTGAGATTTTGCACCATTTTAGACTCGGCTGTTGATAAACTGTAGGCAAAGTTGCTCAACGGACCTGTTCAGATGTAGGAGATACAAGTTATTAAATGCGCAAATGCATTAGAAACAATTATATTTTTCCAAGGCAATTTTTGAAATACTCTGAAGCTGTTGTGCGAATGCAGCAGCATTTTGAGCAGTTCTATACAAAGATTTGCCAAACGCCCCTAGGAAGTTGCAGATTTTTTAAATACAGAAATGCACAATTGAGACTAATGAAATTTTGACAAAAGCAATTTTTCAAATTTTGTAGTTTTTTAAGCATCTTAATATTTACCAAATCTCGAACTACGTGTTTTGTTACATCTTCCAAATGAAAAATTATGTTACCAATCAAAGTTTAAAAGTTTGTTATTGACCGCAGAATTTCAATATTTGTGTGTTTTCCGGTCTAAATCACCCACTGATCTGATTACAATCCGATTATGTATTTTTATACAGCCGTATTTAATATTACCAGTAATTTTTCTCGATTCCTCTTTATAAATCCAGCGTTAGTTTGAACATCGCAGATATTTTTAATTGGTCGATATTAAATAAATGTTAGGCTCGCTATTGCGCTCAGATTTTTTGCTCCGCTTTGAAACCTCGACTGAAGGTAATTTCAAAGAGAATATCCGGTTCTTCCTTGCCCAGGTCGAGTTCAGGAATAAAATGTCTGAGAAAGTTGATAAATTCCAATCTCATCGGAAACCGGAGCCACTTCGGAAT